TGTTTTTGCTGACTTGGACTGGAGTGGGTCCCACAAGTTGTGTTGCGCTCTGCGTTTACGAAGAAAGAAAGCAATATTTTAAAAATATAAATGGAAGAATTCCAGTGATTCGCGATCATCGTCGAGTTCGTGAACCTCGTCGCCATGGCTTTCACACTCCATGATGGTGGCGGTGGCAGCGGCGGCGGCAAACGGTATCAAAAAGTGCAAACCCACTTATTGCTGACGACAGGCGAGTTCTTGTTCCTGATCTCGTTGCTGGGGCCGAACGCTACATTGCGCAGAAACAATTTCGTGATTCCCATCCATTGGACCCCGATGTTCTTCCTCATTGTGGGACTCATCATCTTCATGGACTTTACCACATTCATTATTCTGGTTACAAAAGATGCCGCTAGAAAGGAGTTTTCCAGAAAAGGGTGTTCGCAGCATAGGACCGTTGATTACACCAGTTAGTTGAAGAACCATTTTGGCAATGGGAAGAAGAAGAATCTGTTTTGGAGTTTGCTTGATGGACACCCATATCTGTTACCACGATACAGGTATTTGTTTAAAAAAAAGGTTATATTTTTCCGTCATGTGAAATTTGGTTTGATTCTTTGATGAAATAACTGACATTTAAAGTGCTTGAAGGTTGAGAGTATAGGAACTAAAGTACTTAAAGTTAGAGGGTTTAGAGACTGATAGTGCCATTATCTCTTTTGTTAATTGTGATAAGCTGTGATTTTGCTCATATGCTTTTTCTTTTTTCTTTTTGGTATATGGGTTATACAACAAGGATCCTCTTCCCAAACCCCTCCTCAGGATTTGAACTTGAGATCTCCAACATAGAGACTCAAGTTTTTAACCATTGGGACATCCCTAGGGGACATTTGAACTAGGCATTTAGAGTTAGAGTTGGAAAACTTCACACTGAGATATCATTTTAGGAGCTAACTGTCAATGAGTCAGAGTCTACTAAGTTTTGATGGTTTAGACTTTAGAAGCTCAAAAAGTTCCTTTTAATTGTTCGTTTAATGGCATTTCGGATAGCAAATCAAGAACAGCAACCATTCCATATATTTTATTCGGATTGCAAAATAAAGGTTCCTTGAATATTTTATGCTAGGGAAGAAAGGTATGGAATCAAGGGTTTTAATTTTAAAAGATGGTGATGCCTGTGTTTGGTTTTGTGCGTATTTTTTAGACTTCATATTTATATTGAAAAATAAATTATAAAAATCAGTATTTTATCAAGGAAAGCTGTTTTTGGAAGTTGATATTTTTGTTGAGGAAAAGATTTTTTGATTTATGGTAAATAAGGCATGTGGAACCTAGATGATGATATGGCTGCCGAGTGGCATAATCCTACTTGGCAGCCATATTATCATCTTGGTCCCACTTACCTTATGTACCATAT